GGGGGGGGGGTGGAGATGTAGCTCAGCATGAAGACCCTAGATTCAATCCCCAGTACCCCCACCCTCCAAAAAATTACACTAGCCTACATTTTTCTAATACATGAATATAGTATTAAATAAAATCTAAAGGAAATAGCTTCTTAAAGACTTTTAAGGCTTTCTTTAAAAAGTACTCTACTTTGGGGTTGGGGGTGTAACTCAGTGCTAGTGAACTTGCCCAGCAAGCTCAAGATCTTGAGTTAAAGTTAAATCCCCAGCACTGAAGAAAAAAAAAAAGTCTAAAATGTTGCCCTGGGGCTAGGGATTTAGCTCAGTGGTTTCACCGCCTGCTGCACAAGCACAAGGACCCGAGTTTGGTCACTGGTACCAAAAAAAATAAATAAATAAAATGTTGACCTAACTTAAATAAGATAATGTTTCATTACATTCACATAATGTTTTGTTGTTGTTGTTCTGCAGTGCTAAGGACTGAGCCCAAGGCCTCGTACATGTTAAGCAAGTGTTCCACCAATGAAGTACATCCCCAACTCTCAGATTATATGCTTAATTCACAACAGTTTTTATTTACTAGGCACTAAACACCATGATACCACCCAAGTACCTCAAGTGCAGGCAGATCATTATATGGGATGATTTCAAAGCCTGGCATGAAGGGTCCAAACCCCTCATAGCTGGTTGGGTCTGTGGAACTGGAGATGGCAGACAATGTTCTACCCCAAAAGTTTCCAACTATAAAGGAGAAACAAACAGTGATTATTCCAAAGAAATTCATAAATTTAATAAGCACCATGCCCCAAAAATATCTTGAGAAGTTTAGCCAAAAAATAAATCAGTGGTCTGCTTTAGAGAGACACCAGTGAGTTTTTAATTATTAAAACAAAATCTGATATTAAACACCGTGGTTCATCTGACATAAAGCACCAGGCCTAAAGGCCTGACTTTGCAATTATTGTTTTTGGTTCTTCTCTACTGAACCCCAACAGCTATGTATAGCCCCAAGGATAGACATTTTCTTTTCTTAGAACCATCCAAATTTAACATCAAACTCTAACAACTGAGGCACTCAGTCCCTGCTTTCCAGAGAAAGTCCATTTATGATAATGATACAAAGAAGGAATATCTTCATGGAGAATTAGCGGTTTTTTCTGTTAAAAATCCAATCCTGCAGGCTAACTACTAAACACATTTTTAATTTCATTTAGAGAAAAGACCCTCAGGCAATCCAAACACTTTCCATTTTGCCTTGAAATTACAACCCTTTATGATGTCAGATGACAGATATCCACCTTTCCGCAGGGCCATTTTTTATCTATAAATAAATGTAACTGGGTTCCTGCTAGATGTTGTAAGACCGGGGGCCTTACCAAACGCTCCAAGGAGCTGACTGCAGCGACGATCACCCGGGAAGGAACACACCGGACAAGTTGGAAAGTAAAACAGACCTTTATTAGTCTGGCCAGACGGCACTCCCAAAGCAAAGTAGCTGAGAGAGGCAACTGGCTCAGAGTCCGACGCTGTTTTTATAGGGGGTTGAAGGGGGAGGTTACATGTAGATTTACGGGAAAAAAGGTTAATGACTCATTATTACATGCTGATGGTCAGCAGGCACACAGTAAGACCTTGTGACCATATGGTCAC